AAGAAGAAGAAGAAGAAGAAGAAGAAGAAGAAAAAGAAGAAGAAGAAGAAGAAGAAGAAGAAGAAGAAGAGCAGCAGCGGCAGCAGCAGCAGCAGCAGCACTCATGAGGCAGGGTGACATAGAAATTTGGATTGACAACTGCAACAACAAAAACAACAACACAATTTAGGCAGGGTGACATAGAAATGTGGGAAGACTAACTTGACACTCAAGGAATAGCAACAGTGGCTTCTACACCTTGGGGGAGACAACTCCTACTTGTGATCCTTCCTCCAGAATGTCCACATGAATCGTTTGGCTACGTCAGTACTACTGTAATACAATAGGTTTGGATGGCTCTTTGCCTGAATATTAACTGCAAGTTCGATTTGCCGTATCAGATTATGGTCTGAATGACGTGAACAGCCACCCACAACAGCCGTTGTCTGGTTCTGCTTGACCAGCACATTTCTAAAATTGTTCGTTCATGTTCTTGTGTGTCCCACGTTATGTTTTGGGTGGTTAGAGGGCGTCACTTGTAGTGCTAACTTCTTTTTGTTTCCTCTATTGTTTCTGTTGGTCTGCCAGTCTGTCTTTCGCTGCACTAAATAATCGTTGTCATCTCGATCTGCTTTTCTTTTCCCAAACAGACAACACAGGGAAGGTTGCTTGTTGCTCTGCTGTAGTTTGTCCCTTTTTTTTTCTTTTTTTTAAAAACAGCTTCACTGTCAGCATGTGGGTGGTTGGAGGTTGTCACTGGAAGGTCCTGCTTCTTTTCTTTCCTTTTGTTGTTTCTGTCTGTCTTGCTTTTTTCCCCTTCGCTAAACAACCGTTGCGGGTGGTTGGTGGGTGCTCTGGTGTAGTTTGCTCCTTCTTTCCTATCAAACATCTATCGTCCTTATCTCCCCTTTTTCTTTTTTTATGTTTGTTACTCTCTTATCTTCTGGCGCTTATATGACCTTATGCAGTTGCGAGCGCCGTAAAACCTCTACTAAAACCTCTACTAACGCAAAACAACCGTTATAGTTTCAATGAGTTTCTCTTTACTAAAACAAACTGTCTGTCAGCATAATTCGTTTCTAGTTAGATGTGCTGACAAGTCAAAATTTATGGCTCTATGTATTGCTCTTTACAACTCAACAACACCATTGTCGTTAGTGTTATGGGTAGGCACTATGCCTTGTTCGCTAAATATGTTCTTTTAAAAATTTCTGACGTAGGGAAGGTTTTTACTTTTTTTGTCCCTGCCCTTTCCTATCAAATGACACCACTCATAATTTAGCATAGTATACAAAACAGAACTCACAAATATTATTTTTATAATGTCGCAATAAGAAAGAATTAACAGAATTAATAATAGGAAAAGAGGTATGGGGAAGGTATTTTGTTCTGTATCTTCTACTTTTCTCATCATGGAGTATAATGTCCTGCTCAGGCAGGTCCTTGTAGGCAGGATAGAAACAGATCGCCTGTTAATTGACCGAGTTTGTGTAAATTGAAGCATAAAACAAGTATAAATAAATTCAACAGAACATGGCCCCTGTACAATTCATCAACATTTTGCCTGCGGGTGGTGGGATGATGCCAGCAGTATGTCCTACTTTTCTGTCTCATCATTTCTGTCTGTCAACAAACAGCTCATCATTATTTCTCTCTTCTCCTCCCCAGTTGTTTGACCGTCTTCGCAAAGAGCGGCCAGATTTCGCCAGCAAGCTCCGGCCCATCCATGGCGATATGCTCCTGCCAGACCTGGGCCTGTCTCCTGAAGACCGTGCCGAGCTGGAGCAGAAGATCAACATTGTGTTCCACAGCGCAGCCACCATACGCTTTGACGAGCCGCTCCGTGTGGCGGTGGAGATGAACGTGGTCGCAGTGCGCAAGATGTTGGCGCTGGCGCGCAAGCTAGAGCACCTGGAGGTATGGTTTGTTTGTTTGTGTGGGGTTTTTATGGAGCGGGGGGGGGGGGGGGGGTGGTGTGTTGTTGTTTGTTGTCATCCTATTTTAGTGTTATGTTGCTGTTTTTGTGGGAGGGGGGGGGGGGGGGGAATTTGTGACATGCTGGAACTTTTATGTTAGTCTGTAGTCTTTATTTCATTCTTTTATGAGTGTGTATAGCTGGTTCTGTATTTGTGTAGAGGACGGCTTGCCGTCTCTGTCTACACCTCATCAATAGCTGCATGATGGTATAGAATGGAGACTGCATATTTATCGGGAGATTGAGACCATACAGTGAGATACTAGATGAACGTGACTGACAAAAGAATTACTATGACATCATGACAGCCTCCTTAATCGGAATGCAAAACTGTAAACCATCATTTTAACTGTACAGGCTTTGCGATAATCATTGTTTACTTTACCTGTCAACTGTTTGGGGTAGATTTTGTTTACTTTACCTGTCAACTGAACTGTAAACTGCTTTTGGTAGTCATTGTTTATACTTAAACTGTGGGTGGTTGGCGGGTGCTCTGGTGTGGTTTGCTTCTTCTTTCCTATCAAACATCTATCGTCCTTATCTCCCCTTCTTCTTTTTTATGTTTGTTACTCTCTTGTAACACCTCTAATATTCTGGCGCTCATATGACCTTATGCAGTTGCGAGCGCTGTAAAACCTCTACTAAAACTAAACTAATACTTTAACTGTCAACTGTTTGTGGTAGTCATTGTTTATTTTAACTGTCAACTATTGGTGTTAGTCATTTGTTTCTTCTGTCTCCCTGTCAGGCCTTTGTCCACGTGTCCACGGCGTACGCCAACTGCGACCGGCCGTACATTGAAGAGACAGTGTACCCACCCCCTGTGGAGCCGCAGAAGATCATTGATGTCCTCGAGTGAGTTTCTCATATCTTCTCCGTGTAGGGTGATTACTGGCAATTTATTCATATATCTAAGATCGTTCCATTTTGTTGTTATTGTACATTTAGAAAGGACAGATTCAGGCCCTCAAACTGTGAAGCTATGAATTTGTTTGTGGAGGTGGGGGGAGATTTTAAAAAGGGCAACAAATTTGTTTGAAGGAAAAGTTTGAAGTTAAGCCCTATGGTAAATGTGTGTGTGTGTGTGGGGGGATGATGGACAAAAGCGCATCTCAAATGTGCGATTATATATAAGGGAGGGGGACGGGGGTCCTGTAATGTAATCTGAAACTCTCTGAAAGGTTCAAGTTTTACTGAGCAAGAATGAAGAAAATCTCATGCTCACATAGATAACGATTTTTTTCCGTTTCATTGTCCAAAATACTTTAAAACTTATTTTCCCTGCACACTGAGTGCAACTTCAGCTTTTGTAAAAAAAAAAAAAAAGAAAAGAAAAAAGTTTGCGTATCCCATATTCTTTTTCTTATTTTTCCTCGAGAAAACACATCTGTCTCTCTCTCTCTCTCTCTCTCTGTCTCTCTTTCTCTCTCTCTCTCTCTCTCTCTCTCTCTCTTATCTCTCGTCTCTGGCTCTCTCTCTCACTCTGTACCCCACTCTCTCTTTCGTTTATCTCCCCGCCCCTCTCTTTTTATCTCTCTCGACCCCAACCCCTCTCCCTCCATCTCTCTCTCTCTCTCTCTCTCTCTCACATCTCCTCACTGTTCTCCCCCCCCCTCCCCTCCCCAGATGGATGGACGACGAGATGCTGGAGCTGTTCACGCCCAAGCTGATGGGGGAGAAGCCCAACACGTACACGTACACCAAACAGTTGGCCGAGCACCTGCTCATCACAGAGGGCGCCGGTCTCCCCCTGGCCATCGTCAGACCATCCATCGTTGGTGCCGCCTGGAAAGAACCCTTTCCGGTACAGTCTTTTGAAACTTAATTTGTCTGTTCTTCATTTGTTTATTTGTGCGTTTGTTTTTTTGTTTTTAATTAAATTAAATTGTTTTGCTGATTCATTTTGGAAAAAGGTAGAAAGCCAAAGAGGCAGAGAAAGATCAAGAATAACTTTCTTAACTCTTTATGCCCCATCGAACGCTTGGAGCATCAGGCGGTAATAACCCTGTTCCCCATTAGACGCTGGGAGCGTCCGATACTAGTAACAACATTTTCATTTTATTTACTGCTAGTTTTTGCTTGTTTTTCGGCAATATTCCCCAACCAAGTCTTCTAGTAAGCCCAGCGCTAATTGAAATGAAACAGTTGTCACTAGTATCGTGCACTTCCAACGTCCGATGAGGAACAGGGTTATTACCTCAGGACGCTCCCAGCATCGGATGGGGTTTAAAGAGTTAATGATCACGAAAATGGGCACAGGCTATAGAAAGGTTGACAAGCACTAGAACAAAGCACTGAATAGCAAGCCATAATTGTTTTTTTTTGTGGGATCATTCCGCGCTATAGACAAGAATTCCCACAAGATAGGCCCCCCTCCCTATGTGCTCGATGAGTATTCTTGCATTCTGCCTCTTTGTCTTTAAATAAAAATAACTTTTATTTCGGTACAAACAAAGTAACTAGGCCGTGATGTTGTGCACTATGGGGAAGGTCTTCGAGACATTTTTCCTCTTGAACAACCTTTTGGCCTTCAGTCTTGGATTGATTTTTGTGGAGTTTTTCTTTTTCATTTTGTTGTTGTTTATATTATGTTTCTCCCCTACCATTTCACCACTTTGACTCATAAGAGACTTTGAGATTGTAAAAAGATGAATATTGTGGTTGGATTTTTTTTTCTTGTGTGTGTAAAACTATGTAAGTGAGTTGAGACAGGTTGACTGGGGGTTTGTATACCCTAATTTTTCAGGACTACAAACGTGTGTTCCCTTCTTCGGTTGTAGTTTCTAGTCCGCAGGTCCAATCCTGATTTCTTAAATGTGGACAGGAATTAAATTTGGGTAGAGCACTTTCGACACTGAAGAAAATGTTTTGCTTTACAACAAAATCGTTCGTACGTTCTGGGTAACGACTTCCTAATAGTCAACTCTTAGCTGGGAGCATTGTGAGTGAATGGGAAAGCCATTAAGGACACTATCTTTCGGACATCAGAATTAAAAGATTACCCTGCAACTTTGACCGACATACAGAACAGCAATCAAGAACTCCCAGTACTGTACCCAATTAATGATGTGTAGAGAATTCTAACACTCATCAAAAGTTATGTTGAGTTTACCTGGTCTTTTATAGAATGTTTCTTCAATATTCATGCCCTCTGGATATTGCTAATGATTTTTTTTCTACGTTGTCGACAAGTATTATTGTACAGAGTTTACCCTTTTTGTCATAGTTTCACAAGGTTATTATCAGCACCTGGATCGTATGTTGTGATTTGTAGTGGTTGATATTTGAAGGACCCCACTAGCAGTTCCTTCTTCTTTTTTTTCACTTTATTGTTTCTGTCTGTCTGTCTGTCATTTTCTTTTGCACTGTTATTTTACCGATGTTTTTCTCTTAATTCAAACAGATAAGCTTTTTGGGGTCAAGTTTTTGGATAGAACCGCAAAACGAAACCAACATACAAACCTTCGCGTTGACGCTGTAGCTGTTTACACAGAATCTGTGAGATAGCGAAAAACCATTTTTTCCAAGAACTAATTAGGCTAGTGGAAATATGAAAAGGTGGATAAAAGGCAGACCTCAGAGGAGCGAAGTCCTACTGCCATCTGGTGGATGGTATTTTGTTGTTGTTGTTGTTTTTTAATGTCAGGTATTGAGTAATAGATAACTTAATCAATGCATTGTCTTCAGAAGTCGAGACAGCAGATAAGGACGTTTATTGTGTGATTGGCGGGTGCTCTGCTGTGGTTTGCTCCTTCTTTCTCATCTACCGTCTTGACCTTATCCCTCCCTCTTCTCTTTTTGTATTTGTTACTCTCTTATAACACCTCTAATCTTCGACACTTACGTGACCTTATTGTGTTGCAAGTGCTGTTAAACTCTTAATAAAACCTAAATAATGTACAGGTCTCACGAATATTGCGGTGGTTGGATACGAGACAGAGACAAACGCCATTATGCGTTTTGACGTTCGTCGAAGTCTTGCACCCAGTCGTCGATTTGTGGAAAAGGTCGGTTATTTCTGTTCCGCTTACGTCGTGCTGGAGTGGTGCCCCTACGTCATATTGGAGTCGTGCCATGAAGATTTGTGTGACTGTGTTTTTGAAGAAAACACCGTAATAAGAACTTTGGACTGCTTAGGGGCACTTACACTCACACGAATTTTCCTCACTCCCCCCTGGTGGGGATGGGTACTCGGCTATAAACAGCGAAAGTCAGTTTGTTAGTGTTTGGAGGGCGTGTTATCTGCAGCTTGCACTGGAAGCCGAGAATGTCTGTCTGTGACCTGTGAGTTGTGTTCTAAAGTCTGCTGCCTGCATCGAGCATGTTGTAGAGCTTGGATATGGGCTATATAAATGAAATTCTTCTTCTTATCCTTACATTGTCCGAAATCTATTGGGTGCTGTCTGTGGTGTAGCGGTTAGGCGCTTCGCCGTCGCATGCAGAAGACTGACTTGAGTTCGATTATCTTGGGAAATTTTTAAAAATCGAGTATCTCGGTCCCAGCGTTGTGTCTCTCTCAGCTATGGTTGGCCCTGTCAGGCAGGGTGGGAACCCGCCTCCTAAATATGCTTCCCAGGAAGCTAAGAATGTTTCTGAGTGTTCTATGGTCTGCTGGGGTAATAATATAGTGTAAAGCGCACAGAGCTTGCTTTTGGGTGGGGATATGCGCGATACAAATGCTATTTATTATTATTATTATTATTATTATTATTATTATTATTATTATTATTATTATTATTATTATTATTATTATTAATATCTAAAGTGTCTATGGGGGCGTAAACACCTACGTGAAGATTGAGGCAAGACTCGTGAACGAACAAACCCTTCTTTTACAATGACAGCTAGAAGCGGTACTAGTTCCTGGCTGTTACGTTGTTTGTTTCTTTTTTAATAACGTATTGTGTACTTTGTGTGAAGTACAGAAGGCAATCTGTTTGGCAACATGGGACGCACTATTGGCATATCGTTAATAATGGAGCTACTCAATGTCTCTCTCTCTCTCTCTCTCTCTCTCTCTCTCTCTCTCTCTCTCTCTCTCTCTCTCTCTGTCTCCCTCTTCTCTCTCTCCCCCCTCTCTCTCCCCACTCTCTCTCCCCTCTCTCTTTCCCTCTCCCTCTCCATTTTCCCCTCTCCCTCTCCATCTTCCCCTCTCCCCCTCTCTATACTCTCTTTCTGTCCTCTTTCTCTTTTCCTCTCCCCCTTCTCTCTCTCTTTACATCGTGTTCTCTCTTTCTGTCGCTCTCTTTCTCTTTTTTTCTCCGTCTCTCGCCTCCCCCCCCTCCTTCCCCAACGCCCTGTGCCATCCCGTTCTCCCCGTAGAAATAACGCCCACGTCCTCTGAGCGCAAGCGCAGTCCAGCGGTTGCCTCAGGAATAAAGTTGTTTACAGAATATCCCTAAAAATGAACGTACATGTGTTTACATTACAGAACTCTGGGAATCTGAAGGGTGGACGAGAACAGAGTTCTCAGGGTTTGTTTTTTTTAGGACAGAGAAAGAGATAAACGCTAGGATTGCTTTGTCTGTGGTTTCTTTTCTTGTTGCTTTGTCTTTGTTTTTAACATTGTTTTTTTTCTTTCTTTTATTTATTTATTGCTTTTTTTAAAAGAGGGTATGAAGTGGTTGAAAAGATTATCTATAAATTCGTCTGTCCTTTGATGGAAATAGGGTTCTCTTGGCCTATTAATTTATCTCAATGTTTATAGGTTCGCTTGCATGTAGTTAGAAGGACGTTACTGGCAATTCTCTCATTTTTTCTTTCCCTGTTTTTTGTGTGGTTTTTTTTTGTCTAGATCTTTCTGTCTTGCTTCTTCCCTGTACTACTATATTATGACAGGTATTTTGTCTATGCGCTTTTTTTACTCGAACTTCAAACTCAAAACTAGCTATGCTCGTTTACCTTCGTCTTTCCACTATGATCAAAGGCCCACCGGACTACGGATAATCCTTTTGCCACAGATTTTATCCCAATTTGCAATCGCAACCCTGGGGGAAAAGGGCAGGAGGGGAGGGGGGTTATAACATTACAGCCCATTTGGCAGAAACTGAAGGCGAATTGAGGAAAGCGAGTTACAATTTCTTTTTTTTTTAAAGGGCAAACATTCCGCTGGAGAAACTGGAATTGAACCAACAGCATTATAAATTGCAAGTTTATGGCTTTTAAAGGAATTTGCATAAACGTGAGACTTCATACAGATTACTTAGCCTTCTAATGAAAAAAAAAAAAAACGACAATGACGAACCAAACATTTTGTTGAAGCCCTAGAGAACACAATCAAACACGCCATACTAATTGATTTGGGTTTTTTGTAAAGAAAAGCACGGCGACATAATTATTTATGGTCATTTAGTGCCGTAAAAAAGCAAGGCGGACTGGCAGGAACAACAGGGGAGGGGGGTGGGGGGGGGGGGGGGTTAATTTATTAAACAAATAAACGTCGGACCTACCAGTGGCGCCCACATTTATTTATTTATTTATTTACTTATTTATTATTATTTTTAATTAATTTAAAAAAAAATTATTTTTTTTTTTTGGGGGGGGGGGGGGGATCTGCAAAACCTTGGATAATCTACTTTGACTTAATGCTGGTGGTGAAGTTAAGAAAATGGATGAGTGATTAATTGAACCTTTTAAAAAAAGAAACGCCGTTCAGCGTTCGAAACTGGAATATTATCAACGACTCCCTTCGCTTATAGGAAATGATGGTGAGGGTTCATTCAGAATAGTGTACGTTCTTCAATGGATACTTCACTGAAGCCCCCGAGAAAACACACGCATACATACACTACATGAAAAGTTTTG